AAGGTCGACCGCTCCCCAGCAGTGCAAAGTTGCAATCTGCCGACGCTGCAGCAAGGTGGCAGCACAATGTTGCACCCGCATGACAGTAGTGCACCCGCTTCGCAGGTGCTCGCAGTTGGTTGGCATGCTTTGCCCCGTCACGTGCACAGGGCAGATATCATATCGTCCACGTGCTGTTTGACTGCACCTAATCAGCCACCTTGACCTCGGGACACCACCATTGAGGTCGGCTTTGCTAGAAACACCTGGGCGACTGTCGCGCACCTCCGCAGAACCCTGTCGCCCGGTAACCTGGTCGACCGGGCGACCACATCGACCAGCTGCTTCTCCTCGCGCCCGTCGACCGCCCAGGTCTGCGACCACCATCCGACGACTACCCCAAGTCGGCCACTCCTCTAGGTCGACCACTTCTGGTCGACCAGAACTACTGGTCGACGACTGCACCAGGCCGGCTTTCCCATGTCGGCGCCACCAAGTCGGCGCCCTTCCCAGGTCGAAGAGCCCCGTCGTCGTCCACCCGTAGCCGGCGTCCCATAGTTGGTGGCTTCGCTGTGGCCCCGTGCAGGTCGACCAAGCCCGTCAACCAGCTTGGCCAAGTCAGCGTCGCCCACTATAGGATGTCGGCTGCATTTCCCGCACACCCGACCACGAAGTTCGGCTCCGCCCAAGCGAGGACGGGGCCAACACACAACTCCCGTTGACAAGTAGTAACCCTAAAAGAGTTGTACCCGATATAGGCTACCCCACTACAGCTTAAACACTAACAATTGTATGTAATTTGACACAACCCCATAGCCGAAGTGGGGGATAGTAAGAGCAACAAATGGTCACAAGACCAGTCAAGAGAAGACACAAAACAAAGCTCTGGGTGGATCTCAAGATCACCACACAGTCCGAGCACAAGCAAACGACCACAAGGCTAGTTCAAATGCAGTGTTTTAAGAGCACAAACAGTACAGTGATGACAAGCTAACAAGAGTAAGCATGCAGGTTTATATATATCAAAATACAAGGCAAAGTCAAGAGACAAGCAAGTGAGGCAGAGTAGGGACAACGCCTAGAGTAGTGCAGAAACGATGATGATCACCAGACCCAAGGGCCTTGGTAAAGATATCAACAGTGTTGGCATATAAGGCCACGCAAGCTATAAGGTGAAGCTGACCACTCTGTTATAACTCTCGTGTGAGATTGTATCGAAGAGCAATGTGCTTTGTTCAGTGCTCTTGCTCCCGACACAATGCAATCATGGCCTTGTAATAGACGTACAGGTCCGGACGACAACGAGGCCGCTCACCCAACTCAGTCAGCAAGTAGGTAAGCTAGCGTAACTCCTGTGCAGCCATAGCCCCAGCGTATATCTCGGCCTCACAGGTGGAACTAAGCTCAAAAGACGAGCGAGTGGACCTCCACGAGACAGAACCAGTACCGAGACTGAACGTGTATCCTTGTGACGACCGCTGAGTCTCTTGGTCGTCAGCCCAAGAAGCGTCTGAGAGCCCTGTGAGCATAACTGGGCGCCGTCCTCCAAGCACACCATGCCTGATGTACAGCACAAGTAGCACAGTACCCTCATAGCAGCCCGGTAGTGCTCAGGTTTCCCCCGCAGCGAACTTTCACTCTCTCCACTTTCTCCTGTATGGCCAGTGGCGCGCCGTCAACTGTACGTGCGTCGACCTCCGGTAAGCATCAGTTGCAGCTTCCGTGCAGTTGCGGTATTAACTAAACCGTGACTTGCTCCTCCGTCTATAAAGATCTTCACTGCTGTCCCATGTATTTTTCCGTAAACCAGTGTTGGGCAATCCGTCGCTGTACCCTCCTTATTCATCCGAGCCCGATCGATAGCGTGAATCGGTACTGTGACTCGGTGAGGGTCATTGGGGTCGGGCGAGCAGTGAGTCTCGTCAGTAGTGGGCTCGATCTCTAATGACTGTTGGTGTTTCCCTGCCTTCCAGACTCCCTCCCCTGCTCTGCTCCATAGCGTCTCAGCTCCTCTGGGCACTCGCTCTTGCGATGGCCCAGCCTATTGCAAGCAAAGCAGCGCCCCTTGAATGGTGCGGCAGCTGCGTTTGCCGCAACGGCGTATACGCTGGCATGCTCGGTCGGGTCCCTGAGATCGATGTCCGTAGTAGGACCCCGGTCTCGGAGGACTTCATTGAAATTAGATAGCCCGCGAATCATGATATCGTGCGAGATGTAGTCCGCCGACGTAAAGGTCTGCCCTCCCCGCCTCGTGCATGTAGCAGACTTGCTCGCACAGAAAACCGTTCGTGTAGTTTTGAACCGACCCGAACTACAGCCAAGTGCGCAGTCTCTGACGCGCCAAAATTGAAGCCGCGATCGGCTCGAAGCGCGCCCGAAGCCACGCGCACCACGCATCCCACGTGCTGTACTGGGCGGTTTCACAGAACGAATTCCAGTCGACGGCTGGACCCGTGGGTCCTTCCCCTTGCATCGGCGGCTCGTCGGCGCGTGGCGACGTCACAATGACTCGCCACCAGTCCATGGCGGGGCCTCGTAGCAGCGAAACAGCGTATCGTATCTTCGCTGCGTCCGACTCGACGTAAGGGCGTGTCCAGCGCGTACATTTACAGCTCACCTGCCGCTACAGTTACCACATTTCTCGAATGTAACCTCCATTTTACATGTTTTTTGGACTCGCACACCCCAAAATGTAAAATACGGGCACAGCCCACACGCCTGCCGAATCGTGAAAATGACGCACGACGCACATAACAACTTCCTCATTCCAACGTGTATGCGTCTGAAATGCTACAGTGCCAGACTTAGCGAATTTTACTTTGTATTTTGCGATAAAGTTTTCGCCTAAAAATCACTGTGCACTTTCGATTTCAACGTCACGCGACACTGATGGTGCGAGAATCGAGCTGACGTAATTATGGCTATAGAATTGTGCTCTCGCCACTGTCGCACATATGCTGTTAGGGTTGTGCTTCGTGGCGGATTGTGTCCGCCGCTCATTTCTGGACACAAAAATTTGAGGGTGCAACTGGCAGTACCATTTTGATAGCTGATACCAGGTACGTAAATTTTTAGTAAAAACGCCAAAGTGTACGCACTGGACACGCCCAAATTCGCGTCGAAGAAGACGTTCATCGTGAAGACCCATGATTAAACTGTTGGATTTCGACGTTGGCTAGGGTCGAAACAAGGCGAACGCTGCGGTTTGAACGATGAGATGATGCCGTCGTTGCCACTTGTCGCTGCAAATTCGACAGGACGACGGGCTTCACGAGGCCCGCTCGTGTTTGGTGCGGCTCTGTTCCTCTCCATGCCAGGCATTGATTGGGCAGTGCCATCGCTGGCTGTGCTTGAGCGCTGTCCCACGCTGTCGTGATGTGACGGTGTGCCGGACGAGATGACATTGGCTCATCCGATTGCGCAGGTGAATTTGCAGATGTCGGTGCTGGTGCTGGTGCATTTGCCGTTGATTGCTGGCGGGCGGAGTCGCGTTCCGCCGTGAGTGTCGCGATTTTGAGCGCCGAATCTTCAAGTTGGCGTACGAGCTGGTCGAGCTGCTCATGCGTCAACATCGCGAGGTTGAATTCGGCCATGGGGGGGGGGGGGGGAGGGGGAAGGTGTCGGGCAAGCTCAGCGAGAGCCTCAGTCGTGGCCGTGCATGCTTTCGAGAGAGCACTCGAGCGGCGGTGTTTCGGCGTTGAGAGACGTTTGCCCCCCTCTAAAATTGAGATAGTGGGGAAGCGAAGGTGTGGGTGCGATCCGAGAAGAGATCGTGGGCTCTGAAAACCAAGTGTTACGAGTGCAATTGAGCAGCCAGCGAGAATTGCACTATCGAAGCAAAACAATACATCAAGCGAAGGCATGGGAGAAGAATATATAGCGAAGCTAAAGTGGTAACGGTAATGTGTGAAAACGGTAAACCCTAAACCCTAAACCCGAGGCTAGGAATTGTCGAGGCGGAGGCCCAGAGCGCGGAATACCAAACGTACCGTGAGGTTGGGTCGCGTCATGAACAGTGGCGGGAACAGTAGTCGAGGCGAGTGTCGAGAGTGGTAACGGTGCACTGCTGAGAGTTGTTGGGGGAAACAGTGGTATATGCTCTGAGGAGGGACGAAGGAAAGGATTTTCCCTTACAAAAAACTCGTATAGTTTGCCTCATCGCATCTCACCCAACCGTTAGTTGTCGCACTAGAAACCGAGCATCAATTTCGCAACGTGACTGACCCCCTTTCGCTTGCTCCGCAGCAATTATGGAGCAGAGAAGAGAAAGTCGTACACACCACGCCCATGAGCTAATCACCTCACGTGTTCCTTCGTCGCATTACGCTAGGTAACCAGACCTTATTGTAGCCATATCCTAGAGTAGGCAGACACTCGAGTACTCTCTTGCTCACAGAGTCACACCGGGGTAAAGCAAGCTACGCCGCCCGCCATGGCGGAGCGCCTCGTCCCGCTGAAGCGCCTCCGCGCGCTCGCCTCATCGCAGGCGGCAGGCAGCGGCGGCGGTTCCGCCGCCGGCAGACACGGCGCGGGCGGGGGAAACAGTGGCGGAGGCAAGACAGGCGGTAGCGGAGTTGGGACGGGCGAAAGCGAGCGGCAGGCTAAAGTGGTCCTTTCAAACGAGGCTCTTTCCATGGTGCGACGGTCGGTCGGTTGGTCTGGGGCAGGTCACTCCTGAAAGATGTTTGTAAGGATTTCGGTTCGAGGCACGTCGGACTTGACCTCTGCGGTTTGAACCTCTTTGAAGCGGTTCTAGCGTTCAGAGCCTCAGGGTTCGGGGGTCTGGCGGGGGTTTCGGGGGTTAGGGGGATTACGGATGAGGCATGAGGGTTGGTGTTCCAGCAGACTATACGTCGCATGGCACCCACTGTACTCTCACCATCATTTGGTACCAGCCAAGGGTCTATACGCCACGCCACGCCACGCCACGCCACGCCACGCCACACTGTTCTTTGGTATCCAACGCAGTCGCTTGGTATCAAATGATGGGTGCTCACGCAGCAGCAGCTGTGTGCTCACCCATGGAGTTCTGCCGTCACACAGCTCAACAGTTTCCCCTTGTTCTCAAGAACTTCTTATCGCCCCTCCCTCGCTCCTGGTGTCTTGCTCATCTCTTCGCCACCTTACCTCTGCTGAATGCAAGCCTTTTGTGTGCTGCCCTTCACGTCCCCTTTTCTTTGCCCCACATCCCTTCCCTTCCCTTCCGTTCCCTTTTCTCCCCCCCTTTCCCTTTTCTTCCCTACTTTCCTTCCCTTCCCTTCCCTTCCCTTACCTTCCCTTCCTTTCCGATCCCACTACATCCCTCCCTTTCCCCTTTCTAATCTTCCCCCCTCTTCCCTCCCCTGCACACCCCGGCCCTCCACGTTTCGTGTGTGCCTGCCCGCGCCTCGTGTGAGCCCAGGCACAGGCACAGGCACAGGCACAGGCACAGGGACAGCCGTGGAGGCAAGAGCATCCAGCCTCGTGTGCGCCTGCAGTGAAGCGCAGGAGTACAGCACGCCCACTCCATCCAAACTCCCCCTTTGCCACCCCTTGCGTCCCCCTGATTCTCATTGGCTCCTCCGTGTCACCCCTGCCGTGCCATGCCAGGCCCAGCGCATGCTGGGACAGATGGCAGCGCACAGGGGGGAGGGGGGCGACGGTGCAGAGGCTGTTGATTGATGCTGGAAGAGGGGATGCTTATAACGGGGATGCGTTCAGAGAGTCGGAGATGACCGGTGGGGATGCGTTGGAGGCGATGGCTCGTCCACCCAGGTATGCACATTGGTGATTTCAGGTTACGGGTTTCGGGTTTGAGGTAATGGGTTTAGGGTTACGGGTAGGATTGTGGGTTTAGGACTACAGACTTAGGGTTACCAAGAGGGTTCAGGTTATGGGTTTGAGGTATGCACTTCGGAGGTTTAGGTTTAACGATACGGGTTTAAATTATGCGTGTTGGTGGGGGGTGAATGGACTTGTTGAGACACCCTTATTGCTTCCCCCACATTCTCTCTCCCTTTCATTCCCCTCAGCCCATAGGCCTGAAAACCCATTCTTCACCCCACAGAACCGCTGTTGCTCACAGTGCTCCCAGCCCCCACGCCTTCCACTGGCACAAGGGTTGATGCCCCAGCAGTACCTTGCCCCTTTGTTTCACACTGCTCCCCGGCCCTTTCCCACCTCCATCATCCATCGCCTATCCTCATCCCTTCCCCCCATTTCCTTCCTCCATCCCCTCCCGTCATCCCCTTCCCCCATTCCCTCCGCCATCTCAATGCCCCGGCCCCTTTCTCCATCCCTTCCTCTCATCCCTCGCCCCAACCCCTCCCTCGGCCCAACCCCTCCCCCCATCCCTCGCCCCATTCCCCCCCTCATCCCTCGCCCCATTCCCCCCCTCATCCCTCGCCCCATTCCCCCCCTCATCCCTCGCCCTCATCCCCCCCCCATCCCTTCCTTTGGCCCCTCCCCTCAGACTGGGCCTGGGCGCTCGCTTTGTCTCGCACAGCCAAGCCATGGGCGCTGGGGGCACTGGGGAGGAGGAAGGGGAGGGGGAGGGGGAAGAGGAGGGGGAGGCAGGGGGGGAGGAGGGGGAGGGGGAGGGTGGGGGGAGGGAGTGGCACAGTCAGCTGCACGGACTGCTGCTGCTGTGGAGGAGAGATTGGGGGCTAGGTTGGCTGGGAGGGGGAAGGGGGGGTTAGGGGGAGAAGGGAGGAGGAGATAGTGGGAGGAGTGGGAGATGGGGATGGGAGTGACGATGGCGGGGAGGAGAGCCGGGCAGGGCGGTTTGGGAGGAGGGGCAGCACAGGCAGTAGTGTGGAGGCAGCTGTTGGGAAGAAGCGTAAGAGCAAAGGGTAGATAGATACTATGATTGTGTTTGTACCGTACCGGTAAGTGGAATTAGCACCTGATGGAGTACCGAATGTGAAGGAGCACCGAATGTGAAGGAGCACCGAATGTAAAGAATATGAAAATGGTATTCATGCCAACAGGTGCCATTGGCAGTGCTGATCTCGCACAGTGTTTTACTTATGAAACAGCATATGAAGTACAGATTTATTGGCTTTTTATGCAAGTTTTATGAGAACTCACCGTCTTCCTTTTTATCTGTTTGTATTGTGATCGTTTTTACTTAGCAGATCCGTTACCCCGTACTCCTTCCGCCAAGGCTTGGATTCGCGTTTTCGTTGCGCCCATGTTCGCCCGGTCGCGGCAAATCCGGCAGCACTTTTTCCGCATCGACTGCCGAGCAGAGAGATGGACGGAACAGAAGGTATGTTTTTCTGTCGAGGAGAAGAGGATTAGGTCACAGGCTATCGCCGCCTACTCGCAAGGCAGCGTTTATTCGCAGGACTGCGGAAGCGACAAGTTCGCAAGCTATTCGTACTCTTGCAAACGGAGAAGATACGATCGCAGGCTATACGTACTCTTGCGAACGGAAACAAAACGATCGCAGGCTATTCGTACTCTTGCGAACGGAAGCTATACAATCGCTGACTTGTCGTACTCTTACGAGCATCGCTAGGGGTAATTCATCGGAATAAGTCGGAAAATCAAGGCGTTTCAAAACAAGCCGGACAGCCGGTAAGAGTAGCCTGTTAGCCGATACTCGTAGCACCCGTAGCCGGTTAGCCGGCAAGTTCGCAGCCGGCCGGCATCATCATGGCGAGCATGGACTACTACCGCAAGTCGACGCTGGGCAAGTGCCTGACGGACGCGCTCGACGAGCTCGTGTCCAACGGCACCATCACGCCCGACCTCGCCGTCCGCGTTATACTGCAGTTCGATAAGGTGAGGAAGAGGAGTTCGGAGCGTGATAAGGCAAGGTCCAGAAGGCACGATTGGTTTAGCTTGTGAGGTAGTAGCCGCACCATGGCGCAAGTTGGGGCGCACCATGGCGCAGGTTGAGGCGCACCATGGCGCAGGTTGAGGCGCATCATGGCGCAGGTTGGGGCGCACCATGGCGCAGGTTGAGGCGCACCATGGCGCAGGTTGAGGCGCATCATGGCGCAGGTTGAGGCGCACCATGGCGCAGGTTGGGGCGCACCATGGCGCAGGTTGAGGCGCACCATGGCGCAGGTTGAGGCGCACCATGGCGCAGGGTTGAGGCGCACCATGGCGCAGGTTGAGGCGCACCATAGCGCAGGTTGAGGCGCCTCAAAAGGCGTCCTGGCGCCCGACCGTGTCAATCTGTATTTGTGTGTTGCTCCGTCTGCCTGCCTGAGGCCGCTGCCGTCGTCCTTCCACCCAATTGTTTTCTCGTTCGCCCGTTCGCCCATTCGCCCTTACGCCCGTATGGCTTTACGCCGGTTCGTCTGTTCCTCCATGCATCGACCCACCCTTACCTCCCTACCAATCTCCATCCCTCCCTGCATGTCTATACCTTTCTCCACTGCACTACACCCCCCTCAGTCGCTGGTGGAGGCTCTCGAAACCAAAGTCAAGTCCAAAACCAACTTCAAGGTTAGCCATCCTCTCACCTTCCGCCCATCCCCTCGCCTCCCCATCCCCACGCCCCCCAACCCCTTTCTCACTTCCCCCCCGCTCGCTTCCCCTCCGCTCGCTTCCCCTCCCCTCGCTTCCCTCCGCTCGCTTCCGCCCCGCTCTGCTTCCCCTCCGCTCGCTTTCCCCTCCCCTCGCCTTCCCCTCCCCGCTCGCTTCCCCCCCGCTCGCGTACCCCTGCCTGCTCGCTTCCCCTCCGGCTCGCTTCCCCTCCGCTCGCTTCCCCTCCCGCTCCGTCTTACCCCTCGCTCGCTTCCCCTCCGCTCACGCTTCCCCCTCCGCTCGCTTCCCTCTCCGCTCGCTTCCCCTTCCCGCTCGCTTCCCCTCCCTCCCGCTCGCTTCCCCTTCCGCTCGCTTCCCCCCCGCTCACGCTTCCCCCCCGCTCGCTTCCCCTCCCCTCGCTTCCCCCCCACTCGCTACCCCTCCGCTCGCTTCCCCTCCGCTCGCTTCCCCTCCGCTCGCTTCCCCTCCGCTCGCTTCCCCCCGCTCGCTACCCCTCCGCTCGCTACCCCTCCGATCGCTTCCCCTCCGCTCGCTTCCCCTCCGCTCGCTTCCCCTCCGCTCGCTTCCCCTCCGCTCGCTTCCCCTCCGCTCGCTTCCCCTCCGCTCGCTTTCCCTCCGCTCGCTTCCCCCCCGCTCGCTTCCCCTCCGCTCGCTTCCCCTCCGCTCGCTTCCCCTCCGCTCCCTTCCCCTCCGCTCGCTTCCCCTCCGCTCGCTTCCCCTCCGCTCGCTTCCCCTCCGCTCGCTTCCCCTCCGCTCGCTTCCCCTCCGCTCGCTCCCCTCCGCTCGCTTCCCCCCCGCTCGCTTCCCCTCCGCTCGTTTCCCCCCCGCTCGCTTCCCTCCGCTCGCTTCCCCTCCGCTCGCTTCCCCTCCGCTCGCTTCCCCCTCCGCTCGCTTCCCCTCCGCTCGCTTCCCCTCCGCTCGCTTCCCTCCGCCTCGCTTCCCCTCCGCTCGCTTCCCCTCCGCTCGCTTCCCCTCCGCTCGCTTCCCCTCCGCTCACTCCGCACGGAGCACCGCTCACACGAGCCTATCTCTAGAAAATCTCTGGTCCTGTGAAGGCAGTGGGTGTGACCAGATTGGAATCACCCTGTGTTTCGTCTTCTGCTTCTCTCTGCCCGCCCGCTTCACTTGTTGCACCTCTCCTCATACCCCCGTCTCGTCTCTCTACTTGATCCGCTTAAGGTCTCCTTTGCTGATCTGTTTCGACTGCTTGCTGCCACAGCTACTTGCACAACTGTGTTGGTCCAATTCCCACAGGCTTCCTTCCATCATCAGTATTTTTCTCCTACCATGTGCCACTGCACTGCACCCCCTTTCCACCTGCCAGGGCCACCTGCACCACGTACCGGTCTGTGAGAGCCTGTGGACGTTCATTCTGACGGATGCGGTTGTTTCAGACGGACGGCGAGGGTGCCATATGGTGGACCGCGTCAAGATCGTGGCCGCTGATTCCAAGCTCATCGCCAGATAGCGCAGCTTTGTGTGCGGTGGGAGAGTGGTTGTGGTGCGGTGCAGATGGGTGTTGCAGTGTTTGCGGATCTGCGAGGTGCAGATGGTGGATTCGCGTCAAGATCGTGGCGGCCGACTCCAAGCTCAATCGTCCAGATAGCAAGGGGTGGTTGCGATGTGCATGCTTGTGAGATGTGGGTGCGGTGCGGTGCGGTGCAAATGGGGGCTGGCTGTGTTTTGTGATGCATGGGGTGGATGGCGAGGTGGAGACTGGTGGATCGAGTCAAGATCGTGGGCCGCTGACTCCAAGCTCATCGCCAGATATCACAGCTGCGGAGAGTGTGGGCGTGATGCAGTGCGGATGTGGTGCTGTGCCTTGCGGTTGGGTGCTGCTGTGTTTGTGTCACATGGGACGGACGGACGGTGAGGTGCAGATGGTGGATCGAGTCAAGAACGAGGCGGCCGATGCAAAGCTCATCTTTGAATAGCAGCAGGTTACGGTAGTTCCTTGTGTGAGGCAGACTCGAAGCTCATCCCTTCACAGCCTTGAGGAATGGTGCAGGCCGTGCAATGGCGCTTAGGCTGGATATAAGGTCAGAGGGTTAAGGCTTGTGCTTGCTATTCACTGTGGTGGAGGCACGGCCTCGGAGCAAAAGCACGATGACTTGGGAGATACAAGTATGAAACCCTAACTGGGGTTGTATCCTACCGTGATCTCCCGGTTAGTAGACCCTCGGGTCTTCTCCTAAATGTGCTCAAAATGGGCTGTGGGGGTCTTAATCTGATGGCATAGAGTTGCCATAAGTGTCAAATTATATGCATGTCATATATGTGTAGGCTGTAGTGGGGTTAGCCAATATGTTGTACAACCCCATTAGGGTTTCATAATTTGTACCAACCCTGATCTAGTCCCATTCATTCCCTGCTACTAAGATTCTAACATGGTATCAGGAGCACTAGGTCCGTAGGACCGTCTTTTTTTCCGGGCCCACCTACCGTTGCGGTTACCGCGCTACCCCACGTGTTGTCCTGCGCGCGCCTTCCCCTGCCTTGCCTTGTGACGTGCTGCGCTGCGCGCGCCGTCCTGCAGCCCTCGCGCTGCCTACTGTTGTCCTAGCTCCGCGCGCACCGCCCTGCAGACCCGTAAGGCCAGTGTGCCGCCCCTGCAGGCCCGTAAGGCCAGCGCGCCGCCCCTACAGGCCCGTAAGGCCCGCGCGCCGCCCCTGCACGCCCGTAAGGCCCGCGCGCCGCCTCTGCAGGCCCGTCAGGCCCGCAAGCCGCCCCTGCAGGCCCTTCAGGCTAGGTCGCGGCCCCGCCCTGCCGCTGACGCGGCCCCGCCCTGCCGCTGCCGCGGCCCCGCCCTGCCGCCGACGCGGCCCCGCCCTGCCGCTGTCGCGGCCCCGCCCTGCCGCTGATGCGGCCCCGCCCTGCCGCTGTCGCGGCCCCCCGCCCTGCCGCTGACGCGGCCCCGCCTGGCCCCGCCCTGCCTCCGACACGGCCCCGCCCTGCAGCAGCTGCCGCGGCCCTGCCCTGCTGCTGTCGTGGCCCCAGCCTTGCGGCTGACGCGGCCCTACTCCGCCGTCGCCGCCGTCGTGCGCCTACCCTGCCGCCGCCCGCCAAGCGCCGGCCCTGCTCGCACGGCGAGCGCCTGCCCTTCCCGCCACTGGTGAGCACCTGCCCTACCCGCGCTTCCCGCGCGCCTGCCTTGTTAGCGCGCTGCCGCGCCATCTGCCTGCCGCGCCTGCCCTGCCCGCGCTGCTACTCCTGCTACTTCTGCTACTTCTGTTACTGCTACTAGGCTACTGCTGCTGCTACTGCTGCTACTACTGCTACTGCTGCTACTGGCGGTGGCCAGATGCAGCTCCAGCGACGTCCGCGCGAGTCTCTCACGCCCCAGCAGCTTCGTGAGTGGTACGCTAGTTGGGGTTGTGGCGGTAGCCGTCGTGGCTGTCGCCCTGGAGCTGGTCAGTCGGGAGCATCTAGCAGTGGCCAGCTGCAGCTGCAGCGGCGTCCGCGCGAGACATTTACGCCCCAGCAGCTTCGTGAGTGGTACGCTCAGAGTAGAGGGTCTCGGAGTACCGTTCGCTGCCCTTACGTCATTCGCACAGGTGATCGGTCTGGTCAGGCTTGCGGGACGCTTGGTCACACACAGTCTCGCTGCTTCGCCCGTCTGAGCGACGCCTGGCGTACCGAGTTTGGCGACGAGGCTGAGCTCCCCACCTGGCTGGAGCTGCTTAGGTAGAGGGTAGATATCTTTGCTCTTGACTATGATGTATTCTCACTGCCATGTATGCATTGCCTACTAGTGCTGACGGTGCCTGTTACCTGTGCGTACCGCCTGACCCAGGTATAGAGCCTGCTGCTCTACGCACTGGTGAGGCTGCTGCTCTAGGTGCTAGTGCGTCTCCTACTCTAGGTGCTAGTGAGTCTACTGCTCCAGGTGCTGGTGAGTCTGCTCTCTCTGGTACTGCGCCTGCTGAGGCCTTGTACACCTTCACACTTGACTCAGGTGCTTCCCGCTCCTTCTTTCGCGATAGCACCACCCTCACGCCGCTCAGTCGGCCGGTTGCAGTCTCCCTGGCAGACCCTAGGGGGTCCAGTCCTTGCACACTCCTCCACGGTCCTGCCGTGTCCGGCGGTCCCGTCTGGCTCCCTGTCAGGTCTTCACCTCCCCTCGTTCTCTACGAACTTGGTGAGTGGTGCTGACCTCCAGGACTAGTGGGTTGACCAGTTCACTCCTGGAGGTCAGCGCGTGACCCACTGTACGTGCTCCCGGACGGGCCGGCACCTGGCCACGTTTACCCGTGCGCCTGGCATGAGTCTGTACACACTGACTACTGTGTCCCCTCAGGTCGCTGCGTCTGCGTCTGCGTCAGGTCAGCTAGCGGCCCCTGCTCGTGTCGCGCTTTGTCGCACCAGACCCTCCTTTGGGACCACCATCTTGGTCACCCCTCGGTGCAGCGCCTTCGTAGCATGCACCGCTGTGTCCTTGTCTCTGGTCTTCCCAGGGTTCTCCCTCCCCTCCCACCCTCGCCTGCTCCTCCCTGTCTTCCCTGTGTGGAGGGGCGGCAGCGCGCCGCTCCTCACTCCGCCTCGTTTCCCCCGACGATAGCTCCCCTGCAGACCCTGCTCATGGACGTGTGGGGCCCAGCCCGCGTCAGTGGGCAGGACCGCGAGCGGTACTTCCTGCTGGTTGTTGACGACTACTCGCATTACACCACGGTCTTCCCCTTGCGCACCAAGGGTGAGGTCCCTGATGTTTTGATCCCTTGGATCCGCGCTGCCCGTCTCCAGCTCCGCGAGCGGTTCGGGACGAAGTTTCCCGTCCTGCGTCTGCACTCTGAAAGAGGTGGGGAGTTTTCCTCAGACCTTCTGTAGAGCTTTTGTCGGGGAGGGCATTCGCCAGA